AAACTAATATTGATCGAAGCTATAACAAAATTTTTCATGTTTGGCCTGAATTATGACTTGATTTCTTAATGTTAGCCAAAATTATGTTCAAGTTCCTGACTTCTAAATGAACGAAATCACGTGATTAATGTAATTTTGGTCAGAATTATGAAAATTCTAGCAAAAATTATGATCACGACTTGCATAATAAGATTCATGGAATTCGCTGAAAAATACATGATCGATTGTACAAACATGTTGGATTGGTGGAACAAGGGTAAAGCTGCAGATCCCGCCATAATTTCTGAAGTTAAAGGAATTATCGTAATATTCAATTTATTATTATAAGCATAGTATTCTTAATTTAGACATATTTAACATAAATGCTGGACTTCAAGAAACCAGATTATAGCTTAACATTTCCAATTTACTGAATTTGGAAAAATTTGCGCATAACTTAATGAATTTGTATATTAACAATATTAACAGGAAATTTGGAATTCGTCTCATAATTATAATAGGCCATATTAGTGGCGTGATTTATGTTTGATGACTAAACCATGCGCCATACCCCAATAAGTCTTGTATATAATTGACTTTATAGTTTCCTGGCAGGGCATGACAAATCCGGGATCGAGTTGGTAAACAAATTCTCGAAAGTTTTTACTGTTCACAATGTTAAAAGGAAGGGGATCTGCTATTATCCAATCAGCAAGTAATTGTAGTTGTTGCTGTCTCTTTTCGGAACGTGTATAGGGTTGTATTATACCATCCAATTTTTGCTGTTTCTATAATGAAAAAATGTAAAAGTATAATGTGGTGAAACTCTCTTTTTTTTAAAAAATGATATTTGGTAAAACTCAAACCTTATCTTCTTTTCCATTTTTAGTAATATTATGCTTGTTCCTAAGATGATTTATTGCGTTCCCTGTTGAACCACCTCCCTTGATATATGTTTTGCCACATGGAGAAGCATCGAGATTCTCAGCGACTTTACAAATAATTACTTGACAAGGAGTCCCTTTTATTTCTTTCGTTACTTCTTCCCAATAAGACCAAATCCAGTTAGTTGCTGCATTCGAAGAATGCATTTTAGTTTTTATGTTTTGCAATTCTACAGTTTTTGAAGTGATTGGCTGTTTTTCGGCACTTTTGGAGCTACTTCCTTCAGTCTGCATTTAGGAGTGCAAAGCAAGAGACGACAATAGGTGGGAATAATGAATAACGATCACAAGTACTCATGATCCTGAGTGTTTTTTGTTTCGGGAGAGTGCTGAATCAGGTGATCTTTCCAAAGTTTTGAAAATACTGTGTTCGAACAAGATCAATCTTACTGAACCAAATTTCAAATTTCCTAATTTGGGTTCTGAATTTTCATTTTGTCCGAAGACAAAATTGCCTTCCCAACTGATTTTTTAATATCACTTTTTTCATCTGCCGGGTCGATCAATAAATTTGTGCATTCTTATTGGTTATTGAGATCCGCCGATTATAAATTTTATCCGGCACTGTCCCAGAATGATCACATGATTCATCACCGTCTATAGACAAGGACACGTGTTCATAAATAGTCACGTGACTTTCTGAAAGGTAGAATTTATTTTGACAATTCACGTGATTATCCTTTAAGTGATCATATTAATTTTTTAAATCCAAATAAAGATTTATGATCGACTCGGTTCTGTTAAACTTGACAAATTACAAATTGACAAACTTTTGTGTTAGCAGAAAACAATAATGTCTTCAGTAAAACCCGCCATTGATAAACTTCTAAAATCCTATAACAAAGAAACACCGCAGAATCTAAAACTCATTGATGCTTATCTCGCGTTTATTCTTGTTTCGGGCATCTTGCAATTTGTATATGTAATCTTAGTTGGTACATATCCGTATAATGCCTTTTTGGCAGGTTTTATTTCAACAGTGGGGCAATTTGTGTTAGCAGGTGAGAATTTTTTTAGGGATGAGTTAAATTAGAAGACAAGTTCTATTAGTTAGTAAATAACTAATGTGTTGATGAATCGTCCATCTTTCCGTATATAATAGCTGGTCTACGGATACAAACTAATCCGAATAATTCTGGCCAATTTAAGACAATTTCTCCCGAGAGGTATTAAATATTATTGATCTTTTGATGTTAGACTAGAGTCTGAAATTGCGTATTTTTTTAATGCAAATAAATCTGGTAATTCATATAATCGGTCATAAAAGAATACATAATTTCTGGCTCTACCGGCATCTTGTAATCTTATTACATAATAATTAATAATTGAACTTTGTTTATTTTATATTAAAAACAATTTTATCTATCGGGCCAAAAAGAGCTTTCGCCGATTTCGTTTTTTGTAGCATATTGTTGCATTTTTTTGTCGTGAACTTTATAGGATAAACGGTAAGAAAAACATATCGGATATCGAAAATATCTGATTCACTTCTGTGTCTGATTCTCCTCTAGCTTGCCCAATTCCATAATAGTTCTACCCTTCACGTCTATAATTCAATTCGTGAATCAATAAAAAAATTATGATATGTTAACATGTGTTGGCTTTAAAGACATTATTGGTTTTGAACAATGGCATGACCGTTAATTAATTGGGCTGATAAATTGTATAATTCAATTTACGCCAAATTAATTAAATTTAGTCATAAAATTACACAAAAAATCATGTTTAAACAAGAATTCTTTTATATTAGGTAGTACGGTCATCAGAATGTTGAATAAAAAAGGAACACCACGTTACAATTGTATATACGACAGGGATAAAGTTTTATTTGTGGGTGGGACACAAAAAGTTTATTTTGGTATAACATGTATTATATATATAATGAAAATGGATCAAATTAAATTGCCCTTTACGATAATACAATCTCTCGTATTTGCATAGGGCAGCTATTTGTGGGAAATCACGTATTTCTCTGTCTAATGTCAAATAGGAGCTTCAATTATTGAACTTCCTTGATTATATCATAAATAACTTCTCATCGACAACGCTACAATAAAAAACATAGTTAACGAATATGAAATCATCGATTCAAAATTCCCTCGTGATATTATTGGCCGTTATTTGGGTCTTCACGTCTCAAACATTTGTAGCCGCTGATTCTACTAATTTGAAAGATTGCTTTAATGGGACTTTTGACCCTAATCAAGATTATTTCCCGGAAAAAATCACCGGTATTTTTGGGCTTCTTTCTTTTTTGAGAATTTCCACTTAAAACTAATTCTAAAAATCATCCATAAATCTTCCAATCAATCAACTTCATTAGTTAAAAATGCGATATACTTTACGATCAAATACTCAAAGAATTATAAACTATTGACAAACACTTATACAAAAGAGAACTTCGCCCTTTATCAATGTGGTACTCCGAAGCCAGCTACCACTGATCTCCCGGCTGGTACAAAAATATTTTCGGTTCCAGTAAAGAATGTTGCTGTTTTAGACACCACCAGTAATACTTACTTAGAGGTATTAACCTAGTATAATATACTCTATTAATTTCAAAGACAGCTTTCATGATTAATTTTATCTTTATCCGATTTCTCTTACTAGTTACTTGGTCTTCGTTCCTATATCACTTATGAAGATTCGTCTTCTGCTTCTTTTGTCTCTTCTCCTTGTATTCAAGCGTTAGAAAATTCAACCATTACTGCGCTCTCTGGCAATTCCACACAAAAGACTCAAGATTTTCAAAAAGTTGATCTTGTAATTGGTGCCTATTCAGCTGACAACACGACTAACAACTCAGTTAGTACATCAGCAGCAAATGATCCTGGCACTCTAAACCGAATTGAATGGCTGAAGTTCTACGCGGTATTTTTCAATCTCGAAGCAAAAGCGGAAAATCTAACCGCTCAGTTAGACAACAACTATAGCTGTTTGAAAAATTTAGCTACGAGCAAAGCATCCTCAAGTCAACCTTTGATCGCATGGGCCGCATATGAAGCACCAAGCCAATATAATAATAATACTGCTTCCTGGGCTATTACTGACGGGATCTACAAAAAACAGTTGACCGAAGATGCTGGAGCCAAATACTTCAACTCGACTACTCTAACATTCAGTACTAGCGCAGATTTTTTGAAAGCTATAGAAAATGTTGATATTTTGATCGATGAAACTTACATCGCGCCTACTTATAATGATGTTCTCAAGAATTATGGAATATCTTCCGCGGATAATAGCACTTATAAATTTGTTAAAAATAAGCAAGTCTATCGGGAAGATGGTCTCGTGAATCCAAATGATGGTCGTGATTGGTTAGAATCGGCGATTGTAATGGAGGATGCAGTTTTAGAGGATGTGATGAATGTAATAAATTCGAATTTACCTGTTTCTGGTTATAATAGAATATGGTTGAGAAATGTGGCCACCAATGAACCGCAAAAAGTCTCCAGTGCTGCAAATTGTACTGATTCAAAAGCCACAATAACCGTAAGTATAGATTGTAAGCAATTTTTTTTATTTACATCTTTTAATGAAATATTAAATGTGAATATTCTGTTTTTCAAAGAGCCGAGCTGTAACTTGTCCTGCCGGCGGTGCTAATAATAATAATACCTCTACCAGTAAAAATACCAGTGGAAATACCAGTGATAAAACTTACCACTTTGATTTAATCACATCGATTACAGCTGCATTATTCGCTTCCATGTTTAGTATCATGATGATTTAGAGATAGAATAAATTAATGAACAATGTATGTTCATTGTAATATCTTTAATTGTAAATCGATGAAAAAATGCCCCTCGGAACAGAAAACGTCTTTTTCTTCGATCGTAAAGTGGTTAATTCATTTTTTTAATAAAAGACTCATTAAATTTGGGAATTATCAAAACATTTGACGATAATGAATTGATATCTCATTATGGTACATGTTATGTTTTGTGAAACATTGGATTTTTGTTCATCCTTACATCCTGATATTCAAAGACTTACACCACTCTATCACATGGTCTTTTATATTCTTTGCAAATTAAAGCTAGTTAAATTCATGCCAAGAGGTTGTGGTCAATTTTTCTATGAGATATAAGCTCTATTCAAAAATATTTTTCTTCATTGATGTTATACTGATTTGGTTAATTAACTCCATAATGACGAATGACATCCATCTTAGGACATTTGGCGCGTAACAGTAACGGGTAATGGGGTAATAGATAATGCATTCACCCCCCAAGAATGGTAATAATGGCGTTACTGAAATCATCGTGTAGCACGTTTTGGCACTCACTGTCACGCAGAACGCGCCTCCTTTGGTGATCATGTAATTAAAAAAAGAACAAGAGTTAATAGACGATTAGATTATTCAACTCGTACAAGCCGTGCGTACATGTTTAAAACGCATACATCCGCATTTTCATATGCCTATAAATTGTTTTCGCGCTGCTGTTAGTCTTGACTTGGCGTATTTGAAACTCTCAATTCTCGATTTTGCTTCGTAATAATCGCATTATCAGTTGCTTTTGCTTTTTCATAACGATATAAAATAATCATATTAAAAAGAATTCAATAAATAATAATGCCTTCAAAAGAAGAAATTAATAAAGAAGAGCCGTTAGACCAACGTGACGACACGCTTGTTGGTCAACGTAAGACTAATACGAATTTACAAATTAAAATATCGGTTGACCAACAAGATTCCTTTTCTTCCACTTCTGACTCCACTTTTTCATCACCTAATGTGAGCAGAATTAGCAGTAGTAGCAGTATTAACGAAGTTATGGGGGCAGCAGATACTTTTTCGAATACATGTACTACCACCTCCTCATCGCATACAAACTTGCCCCATGGAAGACGTCAAACTATATATTCTCCTGACGTCATTGAAAAAGATTTATTGGATAAGCATGATAATAGAGAAAATAAAGATGAAGAATTGATATTAGAAGAGACTGATAGAAAAGTCACGATCGGGACAGACACTCAGTTGTCGTCGTCTTACAGTGAGAATAAAGTACAAACCGTTATACGCCGTCCAGATTCTGATCTTGCCGTTCAGATCACAAATATCACGAATTTATCAATTATGAGTCTTGACTTGGCTGGTTTAGTTTCAAAAGTCGCGTTGGAAACGGTAAAAATGTCAACTCGAGCTGGACTTGGCATTGCAAGAGCTGTAACCGCCAGAACAGAAAGAAAGAACTCGACACGTAGCGTTGGTGCGAATGATAGCGGGTATTTTGAATTTTTATATTGTATCTTAATGATATTTTGATTGTTGGATGGATTCCTTGTTACCTTGTATAAATTAGGCCCTTTGTCTAATATTCCCTAAATCTATCAATTCATCCATCCAACTCATATTTGGAAATTTTTTGATTCACTAAAGATTCTTATTCTCAAGGATTCTTGACGCTTCTTCCTACCTTCTACATCAAACTTTGTCATTTACTGAACAAATTGCCCTGGCTGGAATTGAATTCACCTCGGAAACTGTGCAATATACAATATCCACAATAGCCGATAGTATATCGGTAATCGACACACTATTTGGAACTACAGAAACCGCGAAAGCATTAACAGAATTTGTCCAGTTAGTTAAGCGAGAATGGAATGCAAAAGAGGAAGGTGAAGAATCACTAGAAGATATTGGATCATTCGGTGCTTTTCGAGTTATTAAAGTATTAACCGCATGGGCATCTTTACAGTATGTCACTGGTATGAGATGGGAGATGGAAATGGGTGGATGGAAGAAAGTGAAGTTGGTAGATTTTTGGGACTTATTAGACGATTGGGTCGAGGTTAATCATGACGATTCAATTTACGAGGAAATTAATTGGTTAGTTGAAGAAGAGGATGAAGAAATAGTAGTGATTAGCTCAAAAAATGACGGGAATAATATCGTGGTCGGTGAACTTACTCAACCGGAGCATAATCGATTAAATGTACCCAATGATTTATATTCGAAAAGATTAAGCGAACTTTGGGCGGATGCCAACAAACGCATCAGTAATCCTTATATGGATGAGTTTATTGATCAAACTGAAGAGGAAAAATTATACTCATTATTACACAATCTTAAGCGATACTCGAAGTTCTCTTCCACGGCCTATGACGTAAAGACAGCGATAATGAATCGATTACCATTTCAGCGGCATCGAACTCATCAACATCGGGTCACCTTTGCAAGAGTAAATGACTTACCTCTAGATTCAATAGTTCACTCTTCTCATCAGAATCCACCTTCCACCGGTAATCACTATTCGCCAACTTACTATTTAATTCGAGATCACTCGGCGAAATCAATTATTCTCGCACTACGCGGAACAATGTCAATACATGATCTAATTGTAGATTTATCATGTGAATATGAAGATTTCATATTACCCGAAGATATTCAAAGTGGAGATTTGACACCTAATAAAGTACATAGAGGAATGATGAAGGTAGCAAAAGCTTTGGCAACTCCGGGACAATCAGGCGTATTTGAAACGTTGAAACGTGAATTGGAGCAAAACGAAGATTACGGTCTTGTGTTGATTGGACATTCCTTAGGTGCCGGTATGTAATTTCCATCTTTGATATGTAGTCTTTTGTTCTTTACAATTTTTACTTAATTTTTCAATTATAGGCATCGCAAGTTTATTGGCACTTCTTTGGGCTTCACCGAAAACTCGCATGACGACACGATGGAGTTGTCTGCCATTAGGACGTCGTGTTCATGCATATGCCTTTGCAACACCTTGTGTGATGTCTGCTGGATTATCCAAACGTGCTAA